GACTCCACGATATGATCCTACCGTTTCTTAAATCCGAAAGGCGCCGCTTTTCATGTATGACATTTTAAGTACACGTGATTTGCTACCAAAAAAGTACAAGACATAATACTTAAGCGCATATTTTCTGTAAATATATCCGAGTTTATGATGGCTACTTATAACTATTTAAGTAGTTATTATTTATAGTGTGTAGTTGGTAAAGGCGGCGGCAAGGAAGCTCGCCCAAAAGCCAGTATCCCGAGATAAGTTAAATATCTTGGGACTACGTTGCATAATAATTAATTTTGCAACATTATGTAAGCAATATTCGTGAAACTCATACATAATTAAGAACTTTTATTAACATTCGAGGAGATAGCACATTTAATCCATTTGGCACTGTCATCGATATGTCGGATGCCCGACGCAGATAAGAGCTCAGAAGAAGAGTATTTGTCTGAAGGCACCCGACTCCTTAATCCTGAATTGCGCCCGACAAGACCCCATCTGCAAGAGCTCTTAGGAGCTGCCCTGATGCTCAAACTCAAAGGTAAACAAAGGTAAATGCACAAGTTGACGAATTGTCACTGTTTCCTTATGGAATACCTTCCCAGCCGGAGAGAAGTTGAGCCAGATTCAGGCAGCATGCCGCCAAAAGCCGGAATGTGGTGTTGTTTGACTGGTACAGTTCCACCGCACAGCGGCCCTGAAGAGGCAGAAAGAAAGAAAGCAGAGTCAACAGGGGATACAGAAAGCAGTAAACATTGAAGGGTAGGAATGCGTCGTGGGGCCACCGGATTGCAGCGCGATGTGCGCCCCTCGGTCTTCCGAACACCCGATTTTAGTGGATAAAATGATGTCAGGAAACAAATCAGACCGCAATAAGCCTGCAAAACAAAAAAAGGTACGAGGGTAAGATGGAGGATGTGCCCTGACCTCGGGCGAGGACACTGAAGTACATTTTAATATCATCGCTAACGCCTACTGGGCTAATGGCAAGCGCGTGTATGTAAGGGGGTGTCCGCTGACGTTGGGCGAGGTACTTGAGGTACATTTTTGTAGAAACGCTAACCCCCAAGTAGAGTAATGACGAATGAGTAGAGAAATTGGTAGGTTTTGAAAAACCA